TGGTGGAAATTTTTTTTTTTGAATTTTTGGCTTTTTTTTTTGAAAAATTTTTGAAAATTTTTCAAAATCCGACGAAATTTGTTGGCAAACTTTGAATTTTTTGACGAATTTTTTGGTCAGATTTGAAGATTTCGATAACTTTTTTCATATTCCAATAGAAATTCAATCGAAATTTGAGATTGTTTAGAGAGAGAAAGAGAGAAAAAGGGGAGAAGAAAGAGAAAGAAAGAAGTGATCTGCTGAAAAATAAAGGTTAGAGCCTTTTTATACTTGCTGAAAACGATATCGTTTTGGCGTTACTATTCCCAGAGGATCCGTGCGTTTTGAAATCGGGCGACCTGACCCGAGCGTCAACCCGCGTATGACCCGAGTGCTAACCGACCCCTGGAGCCGAGCCAATCCGAACCGATGTCCCCGAGCCGTGTCTTCGAGTCGCCCTTTCTATCTTGAACCGAGTCGTTCAAAATATTTTTTTTCTTATTTATTTATTTATTTATTATTATTATTATTTATTGATTAGATTAGAATTATTTAGTATTTCTTATTTTATTTTTTATTTTATCTTTATTTTTATTTTATTTTTTTATTTTCTTTAAATAAAATTCCAAAAAAATATTTTTAAGGAAAAGTTGAAAGTATCAATTTTTCTTAAAAATAAGTTGTCTAAAAAATATTTTTGAGGAAAAGTTGAAAGTATCAATTTTCCTTGAAAGTAAGTTTTCTAAAAAATATTTTTGAGGAAAAGTTGAAAGTATCAATTTTCCTTGAAAGTAAGTTTTCTAAAAAATATTTTTGAGGAAAAGTTGAAAGTATCAATTTTCTTTGAAAATAAGTTTTCAAAAAAATATTTTCGAGGAAAAATTGAAAGTATCAATTTTTCTTGTACAAAAGCAATGAGTTTTTGAAGAGAAAATGATTTATATCTAAAGCTGAATCATTTTTTTTTTCATTTTTGTTTCTTGAATTTTCTTTAATGATAAATAATTCGACGATAGAGTCTCTGCAAGTGAAATAGTAGTCTCCTTGCATACTCTTGAAGTGAGAAAATTTTTTCAATTTTTTGCTAAAAGTATTAGAGTCAATTGAGAATAATTTTCAATAATTAATTACTTGGTAAATTTTTAAGGCTTATTGGATAACATAAAATTAAGCTGGTACCATCTTTCGATGGGAGTTGTGAGGGTGCTACAACCTTCTTCACACGTAACCGTACTCCCGAACCCTGTTTTGGTTAGTAGACCTGAGCCTATTCTTTTAGGGACCCTTAGGCTTAGGTATTCTTTAAAAGGATAGATTCCTTAGGTGGCCAATCGCACCTAGATAAAAAAGATTGGTGGCGACTCCTAAAGCTAATGTCTAGTGATAGATCATCGGATCTAGACGTTATGACATGTGCTAAATAAATCTTTTTCAAAATCTTAATCAAGATTATTTAACTTAATGTTTTGTTATTTCAAAATAATGATAAATTTAAGACTAATATTTATCTTTAAATATTTTTTTAAATTTATGAATTAATGAAGTGGTAACTTATGATGCATTAATGGTATATAAAGGCTAAAATGCTAAAAAAGCCCTTGAACTATTTTACTTCTTTTAAATAAGCTTTTTTATGTTTTAATTGTATTTAAAGAAATTTTTATATTTTGATTTGTATCCAAATAAGCCATTATTTCAAACAAAAAAGTAATTTATGTTAAAAGGTTTATTTAAGTACAAATTAAAAATTTATAAGCTTATTTAAATATAAGTTTAAGAGTTTGTTTTGATAAAAATTAAAAATTAAGAGTTAATTTGAATATAATAAAAAATAAAAATTTATCTAAATAAAATTATAATGTTAAAATGTTTTTTTTATCTTATTTTAGTCTATTTAAAATATATATAGGTAGTGTACTAAATATAAATCATAATTAAGAAATTAATATCAAAATTAGTAGCCCTATTACATTATTGTGAAAATTAAAGAAAGGACATTACTTTTTGATTTGAAATATTGTCTAATAACTTTTGTATACTGTTTTTAGATTTTAGCTTTGATAAGAAATTGACAACATTCAGATTTCAATTCCTGTTCATATAGAAATGTTATGGGCTTTCACATAAAAATGGTGCATGATGATGTATAAATTCCTTTATGGTACAGCACGAAGTGAAATTCAGAATCTTAAAAAAGACAAGACTTGACGTAGCAAGAAAAAAGAAAAAGAACCCAATACTATTAAGACGGGGCATATTTGATACTACAAAGATTTTTGTTTTTTTATTCAATTAAAAAACTTTAAATTTTCTTATTTGAATATTGGATTATACATATAACTTTGATTTTTTGAGCAAATTTCGAATTTTATTTTCTAAATTAAATAACCTTTTCAAATTTTCAAAAATTTCATTCCTACCCCTATAAAATCTCAATATTTCAAATAAATCCTGAATAATCTTAACGATTTGATATTTATAAAAAAAATTTCAAAATTAAGTATTCAAATTTTGTTCTCGTTAACTATTTTGTATTATTGACTAAAATTGTTAATGTGAAAAATATTGATCTAAAAATATATCATGTGTCAAGATATTATTGTTTGTGTTTTGATCACATCAGCTTATAATTAATAAAATTAGTGTGTAAAATAAAATATTTGATGAAAATAAAATTATATTTAATCATAATTTTTTATAATATAAAATCATAGAAAATTTTTATAATTCAAAAACTAAACCACGTTAATCTTTTTTATTAAACTCAAAAAAATCAGAAGTGAAAAACAGCAGGTATCCCCAAATCCCAATCCCAATCCAATAGCCGTTAGCCCGTTACCACGCCACTGCATTAGCAAAAGAACGAGGAGAGAATTCTTTCTCCACTTCTTAAAAATTGGGGAAAGGTTTCACTTCTTTTTATCTAAGGTGATAAGTGTATTTTTTAATTAAATTTATAATAAATATTTATTTAAATTATTTTTATCTCTTTAATTAATTTTTATTTATTTTACATTTAATTTAAAATTATTAAATTTTAACCATATATTTAATTGGAAGTGCATTTATTAACCTTAGATAAAGGAGTAAAAACTTTTATTAATATTTAAATAGTGGAGATGATCTTTTTCCAAAAGAATAAATTTAAATGAAACAAAAGTTTAAAACCCTCAATCCCATGCACTTGATAGGCGGGTTTACACATGCACACGTTAACTCCTTCGCCCACTAAACGTATTTGCTAGTAAGTGGTGATCATCCAAAAAATTATAATGATTTATACATATTGTTTAGATCATCGAGTTTAATAAGTACCTAATAATTTTATTGACAATTATATTTGATCATCGAGTGTGATTAAATTATTATATTAAATAATTTATCTATTAATAATTATAATTGTTAATTTAATAATTTAACTGTATATTTCAATGAAGTAAAAAAAATATTACTAATATTTTATAAATTATTATCTTTCAATAAATTGAAATCATTAACTCATGCAACTATTATAATTTGAATAATTATTTTGGTAATTTTAAATAAAATAATGTTTAATTTTTAGTAATATTAATAATCTTTAATTCTTAAAATTTAATGATTGTTAATCAAATAAAAGTGATTTTAAATCACAAGTGATAAGATTGACTTAGCAATAAAATCACCATAGCAATTAAATTATCATAATGATTATAAAAATTTATCAAATGCTATCTAAATGTGTTGATTCGATTAATTTGATTAATTTTAAATCATATTAATTAAAATTGAATTAGTTGAATTATAATATTTTATTTTTGTTAATAGAACTTAATTTATTAATTTTAAAAATTTAATCTACCAAATTTAATTTAGTTAAGTTTTAAATTAATCAAATAATAAAACACATTTAAGTTAAATTATGTTTTAAACTCTTAATTTCTCATATTTAAAACAAACTGAATAAAATCATCCAACCAAATATTCAAATTTTAAAATATTAAAGTAAACAATGAATAATTTATTAAATGAATTGGTTTATTTTATCTATTTTTAATTTTTTATTTGGGGTTTAGTTAATCAAAAATTGAAATTTTTATAAAATTATTTTTAATAATTGATTTAAATTAATTCAATATTCGATTGATTCAAATTAAATAGATTCGATTAATTAATTAAGTTAAAATCAAAATTTGAATATCTTTACTTTTTTAGTTTCTTCACCTTCCCTTCTCACACTTTTAAACAGTATTTGAATTTCTATCCGAACTTCCTTTAAGAAAAATTTTAAGATAAAAATTTAATAATAATTTAAGTATATTTAAGCATTTGATATTTTATTATAATTAATTAAGTTTTTAATCTATTATTATGAATTAATTAAATTTTTAAATATTTATTTTTACTCGAATGAATCCTCAAATATATATTTTACTAATTAAACCATCGATTGTTTGAAAATAGTTAATCATTTTTTTTAAAGTTTTTAATCTATTATTATGAATTAATTAAATTTTTAAATATTTATTTTTACTCGAATGAATCCTCAAATAAATGTTTATGAATTTAATTAATTAAAAAATAAATTAGATTATTTTTTAATTTTAATTTAGGAATTTAGTTGACTCTTTTGCCAATAATTTTCCACCGGAAAACTAACATGAGTTAACACGCAAGAACGGTGTACGCAGGTGGAGGAGGGAAAGGTGCGTAGAATAATAAGCCTACTGGCGGTAGTGGAAAGATGACAAATTTTTCTTAAAATGAATATTATATTTTTTATTTTCTAAAATAAATTGTTAATGGTAACGCTGTCGACTCACTATAAAATTAGATCACGACAACACAAGGACGAATACAACAAGTAATAATTAAAAAAAATAAAATGGAAATTAGACGAAAGAAAACAAAATAGTAGTAGAAAAAATTAATATAATCATTAATAAAATTTAAAAAAATTAAGGAAAAAATGGGGAACAGTTTGAAGGGGGTGTTTTAAGGTGTCGTGTTCCCAGTAGGATTGTTGTTGGAATAATGGGATTGAGGGGTTTGGGAGAGTAGGCGCTTGTTGGATTTTTCAACTGGGTTTTTTTGCTGCTTCTGCTTTTTGCTGTTTTTGGAGCTCAAATTTTAGCGGGAAACTTGTTCTAACGACCCTCTAAACCAAAGGTAGGTTTTTTTTTTTTTTTTTAAGAAAAATTTTGGTGGGTGTTTGGTTGCCGGGAAAGTTGGGGAAAACCAACAGAAAACAAAATACTCAAAAAACGTGTTTTTGAAGCTGGTTAAGTTGTTTAAAACAGAGGGTTCTTCCTTTCTATAGTTTTTAGTATCGTTGTTATTCTTTGAATTAAAAGTTGTTTTGGTAATTTGACTTTTCCTCTGTATTTTTTTTCTCATAAGATGGAAATTAATAAAGTATTAAAATTTCTTTTTTTTTTTTTTTTTTTTTTCAGTTGAAACAAGTTATTGGGGTAGCTTTTCTTTTTTCCTTCTTGTCCGTATCTTTTTTTTTTTTTTCTGGCTAATTTGATTAGTTCCGGGCATAGCATTTGATTGTTAGTTATGCATCTTTTGCTCTCTTTTCTCTTCTTGGCTGAAATGCTTTTGGTTTTCTTTTTTTTTTTTTTTTTCCTGAATTCTTGAATTTTTTTCAGAGGTGAAACCAGATGGAATAAAATATCGATTAGGCTTCTTATCATATTTATTTTGTGAGTTTGATTTTTTTTTTATTTGTTGCTATTGAATGTCTCGAGTAGATATTTTCAAATCTTTTTTATCCAGATTCATATGTATGGCCTTATTTTAGTTTACTTTTAGTTCATCTCCCCTGTTTTAGTTGACCGGAGGCGATTTAATAGGACCTGCAATTGTTTCAATGCCATCCAATCTAATTCTGAAGCAGAAGTAACAGTTTTTCTGCAAGTTTTATAAATGGTTTGTGCATATTGGAAAGGTCCTATGCAAGAATATCTTGCTATATATAATGGTAATGAAGAATTTTAGGAGTACAAATAGGTCCACCATGAAGGCAAGGGAAAAGTGAACAGTGAGCGCCAATAATGGCAAGAGTTGACAGCTTAAGACTGAGAGCTGGATAGAGGCGTATGATATGAAAAGAGGGATGTCATGATTGGTGTTCAATCTTTTCTTACACTTGGATACAACTAAATTGTGTTTTCCGAGAAAGCACTAAATTCAAGTTGATTTTGCGTCATTGATTGCCCTTCAGCGGAATTATAAACAACATGGGCTGGGGAAGTTTTAAAAATATCACTGCTCATCCTTTATTCACTGATCACTATACTCTATGACTGCAAACTGCATTCACTGAGTGTTGCCTATGCTAATGTCACCATAGATTTATCTTCCTTAATTGCTAAGCTTCTATAACGTCTGTATCGAAGAGGCTAACTAAAGTTTCATGGTGTTAGGTAACTTGATAGGTTATTATCAAGTTACTTTACAGCAGCAGTTATTGACACAACTGAATTAGACTAGGGAGGGAATGGGAACTTTATTTTAGAATATCAAAAGTAAGTCAAAGGGGGAAAACAGAAAGAAGATTAGACAAACCTGTATATGTGGATACGCTGTTGCAGATAGGAAATGGTTATAAGAGAATAGGATTGTTTGCTTGTGGAAGTACAAGGATCATGATTGTTGAAGCTGTTATCTGGTAGTATCTTTAACTCCTTTTTCATTGGTTCAGATATTAGGAGCTACTTTTTGCCTTTTTACTCTTGCATATGTTTTCCTGAAGTACTAGCCAATAAAATTTTTTTAACGCAGTGCTTGTTTGAGTTCCATGATAGAATAAGGAATTTACTGTTATTATTCTCTTTTTAAGATGTTTCTTTAATTCTTAAACTAAACTTCCATGTTGCATTTGAGAGGTCACTGAGGCTGATTCTACTCTCTTTGATGGTCGCATGCCAAGTCCATCCTGAATGCTCAGTCTTTCTGTACTGTGATCGGGCCATGTTTAACAAAATTTGCTTGCAATTGTAATCTTGAAAATTGACCCTCTCTTTCTCATATAAAACCAATAAAATGGTTAAATCACAAATAATTCATTTATTTTAAATGAGATTTGTGTTGGAAATATATATTTTTTGCATACGTAAATATGGATAATTTTATTAGAAAGAAACGCTCATTATCTCTCCTGGAATTCTTTTATTTTGCTTTCTCATGGAGATAAATGGTTCTTGTGATCTAGTTATCAGCATGATGTTTAGGAAATAAAAAACATGATTAATTTAAACTCACTTTGAACATGCCTTTTCTTCCTTAGTTAAACGTCTTAGAGTTATTTGTAGATGATTCTCAATTTAGAATGTCAGTTATCTGATTGGAATTGTCTTAAATATGCAGAAAACATAATAACCAATGAATATTGTCTAATAAATCAGATATAAAAATTTCCATAGATTCCATTTATTTGTGCTGCATCTTTGTCAATTTTAGTATTCCTGAAGGGTTGTCAATTAAATTTTATAATCATCTTCTCTGGTGCTTGTCACATGTTTGCTGTTATACCTGTTCTTCTTACTCGTAGAGCAAAGCTTATACGTGTCCATGTGTTGTTTCCTTCTGAACTCTATATGATCTCAAATGCCTCTATCAATTTAACTTATAAAAGCTGCCTCCATTTTCAGTTCAAGAAGCATGAACTCTCCATCCACCCAGTTTGTACCTTCAAGAAGGATGGTTATCTATGAGCCTATCCACCAGATTGGGACGTGTGGAGAAAATTTTAAGAGTAGTGTTAATCCACATACATCTTCATCACTGATTGTCGAAGCAGATTACAAGATGGAGAATGAGGTGAAAATTTTGGAGATATTATTCTTTGCTTTGTTGTTAAAAAAATATTTATCTGATTTTGGAGATAAGTAACCTTTGTTATTTGAATTTTCCAGTCTGAGACTGGGTCACATGAAATGCTCGCACCTTCTAATAAGTATGACCAAGAAGCAACTAAACCTATTGATAAGGTAAGTTTGAATTGTACATGGTGCTTAATTTTTATTTCTTTTCTCATTTTAGTGGATTAAATATTGTTCTGGATCATGATGTACGATATTGGATAGATTGTATCTATTGGTTTTTTGAAAGATTCTATTTTGGAATTTAAAAAGATGGTATTACTTTCAGTTCTAGACTTTTAGGTTCCATTCCATTCCCCTGATCATTTCGTAGGGCATGCAGATTTCAGCCATCCTATGCACATTCTTTATCTTGCAAACAAGCAAGCTATATTCTTGCCGTCACAGATTTCTAATGTACTTTTTCCCATTTTTCTTCCTTCCGAATCATATTCTTGTGTTTCCTAAAAGAGTAGTGGCTTCTAGTATTTAGAAATCTTGCAGTTCTGAGATTTGGTCAATGTGTGGAAGCTTTTAATTTTTTTAAGACGAGTCTTGGAAAGCAATTGTGGTGTTTTTCCATTAGTTCATGCTAATGGCATGGATGTTTTGTAATTTTCTAATGTTAGCCTGGAGATATTTTTATTTTCCACTAGCTAGCCGCCTACTCTTTTGTTAATTTCTAGGCTTGTATGCGGCTGTGCGTAGCTCAATGATCTCCCCTTCTTCATTAACATGCATATTATCTGATCAATCTAATTTAAATGGAAAAATTATGTGTACCTCAACCTCAAAGCAGTTCGATTCGTAGCTGCTAAGTGTCGTATTAATTGTTTTAAGTTTGTTGATGATCTGTTTACCTTAAATAGGGGTCTAATCTGTTTGTGCATTTTACCTTTGATACCTATAGATACAAAGACGGCTTGCACAAAACCGTGAGGCTGCTCGTAAAAGCCGTTTGCGGAAAAAGGTAAGATGGATATGGATGTGTGCTGAAACAGATGGCCAGAAGGCTACATGTGAATTGTTGTAATAACTTGATTTGGCATTGCCTTTCAGGCATATGTTCAACAGTTAGAACATAGTCGTTTAAAGTTGATTCAATTGGAGCAAGAGCTTGAACGAACGAGCCAACAGGTTTGAAGAAGATTAATATCATTCTATTTTTTCTTTTTTTGTGATTTTAAAAATGTTTAAAACCACTTAAGCAATAAACCTTTATTGCAGGGTCTTTATATGGGTGGTGGGTTAGAAGGTGGTCATCTTGGATTCTCTGGAGGAGCAAACTCAGGTTTGTTGTCAAAACACTAGCAGTTACTGTTATTACTTTTGAACTCCTCCTTCGAAATATTGCTTTGTCTTGTTGAAATTATATAAGAATTTTTAGTTGTGCCAGTATCTGACATTTCATACCGTATGAATGCTTGTACTTTGAGACTTACAATTCATGTCTTGTTTCTATTTTATGTGGTTAGATTGATGTTCAGATTAAGTGTTACATGTTTTCTGAAATAAAGCATGAATTTTGTATTTGAAAATTATTGCTTACCAATTATTTGGGAAAAACCTTTTTAATAAAAATTTATTGGAACATATTCTCAACACACAGAATAATGCCCAAGTTGAAGTCATATATTGCTAATATTGTTCTGTGATATCCTTCTATTGGATACTTTTTTTTTGCCCCCATCTATTCTTTGTATTCTTGCTCCTCTAAACATTATATATTTCCTAATCTGCTAATCTTCTATGAGCACCAATATGTGCACCCGAAAGCATTAAACCCCCTGCACCTTAGTGAAGAATAACTTCACAAGAAACCAACATGAGCAAGCCATTTCTTGTCTTCTGAGAAAAGGCATTTAAACTTTTTCTCGAATTGCAGTTGACTTTATTTCCTCACGAGTAAAAATCTCGACAGATTTCACTTTGTTTATTGGAAGTTACAAGTTTTTCAAGAGAAGTTACATATTGTTTATAATAGGACCCTAACTTCATTTAGGGGTTAATTTCACACCTCTAGAGAGAAGCTGCTTAAAATTTTCTCATCTTATCGTATTTCTGAAGCCCACTTTTCTGATATTGATAAACTTTAGCTGTCTTTAACTCTTCATGGGTGTGTAGTTCTTTTCACAGATATTGATTTGACACCTTATGAAAAAAACTTTTTCAACTTTTCTCAGCTCGTCACATCTTTGGAGCCCACTGGGGTGCACGGGGTCTGTGTCACAGTCTTGGAGTTGAGTTAAAAATCTTATATTGATTGTATATTAGAGTTGATTATCGGATATAAAGATTCACACATTTTTTTTCTTATAAGATTTTTTTGTGGATAAAATCATGTGATCAGAGGGGTCATGTGGATAATAAATAAAAATGTGTGAATCGTGATAGGTAGGCTATTCAGAGATGTCGAATTAGTGTATGCCTGGATCTTAGAGGTTCGTGGTGCTTAGAGGTGAGTCTCGACCCGTAACAAGTGGTATCAAAACTAGCTCTGGGAGTACTAACGATGTGCCATCAAAGATGATGCCCCTCATTGGAGTAGGGGGGAAGTCATGGTTCTGGAGTAGAGTTAGGAATCCCACATCGGTTGTATACTAGAGTTGGTCATGGGGTATAAGAGTTCACACATTGCCCCTTTTGTGAGAGGCCAGAAGGCTAGAGTGGATAATACCTCACAATGGTGTGAATTGTGATAGGTAGGCTGATTTGGATGCTGGATGAGTACATTACTTAGATCTTAGAACCATGCGAATCTAGAGGTTGAGTCTCGACCTATGACAGTTTGCCTATCTTTTGCTACATCTTTTCACATATACTTGAAAATTATATAGCTTATTGTTTGAATAAGCTATTAGAAACTACATTCTTTATTTTGTAGACAACATATTATTATTATTTTTATTTATTTATTCTCTTTTTTTCTTTTTCTGCTAGCGGCTCTGACAGCCGCCTATAACTACATTGCCAGCAGCCTTGACAACCACCGACAATCGTTCTGATAGCCTGTGGCTGCCTTAATCCTAGGCGACCAAAATCCCAGATTTTTTGGGATTTTGATCTTTTTTCTGCTTTATAAATAGAGCAATGAATCCGAAAATGAAAGAAAAAGGAGGAGACCCTGCCAAAAAAATAGTTTCTAGAATAAAAAAAAATTTTCTTTATGCCCTAAAAAAAAAACCAAAATAAAAAAACACAGTTCTCCCTATAAGGAGGAGCCTCAGTGCCAAAAGCCACCTACACCAAAGAAAAAAAAGATAGTTAGTGTGGGTTTTCAAAAATTACAAAAAAAAAGAGAGAGAACTCAAGAACTTTAAACCCTGCTCTACGCTGATCGGGGTGGTTTCTCACAAAAAGGAGGCTGGATCTAGAACAAGGAGGTTGAGTAGAATTTTTAAGGTTTTTCTTTTACGTTTTTTGATCATTGGCGTTCACTGACAACGACCATCGGTAGTGACCACAGGTGGTGGCCGACAGGAGTCTGGCATCGGATTCTGGCAATGCCAGAGAGTGTTATTTTTTAGAGTTGAAAATTGTTTTTTGGAAGAAGGTTGAAATGAATTAAAAAAAAAAGTTGACTTTATATAAAAAGCCAAAGCCCAAAACGACATCATTTTGGACCACGAAGGATTCGCGCGTGGACCCGAATCTGACCCCGGATCCATTCAACCTGACCCATTACTCGCTTTTGCCTCAGCCCAAGATTGGTTCAGTTGAACCGGTATCAAACCGCTAGTGAATCGGTTTGGATCGGTCAGAACTGTTGAACCGCCAAATCAATCAGACGTGATCGAGTTACCGAATCGGCCTACACCCGCATTGACCAGACTGTTGATCGATCTGATTCATGTAAAAAATTTTTTTTATTGAATTTAAAAATTTTTTTTTGTTATTTTAAATTTTATTATTAATATTTAAGCATGTTAAAATATATTTAAATTCGTTAAAATAAATTTTTGTCGTTTTATGATAATAATTAATAAAAATAAATAATGAAATATATAGAAAAAATTTGTGATAATTTTGTTATTTTTTAAAATAAACTTTATAATAATAAAATAATAAATAATGTAAGAAAAAAGAAAATTTTTATCTGATGATGAAATTCAAAAGTATTCCAAATAGTGATACTTATGAAATTTTTAGGTAAAAATATTTTTTTTAAATACTACCAATGTATTGAAGTATTTATAAAATTTTTTTGATACAATAAAAATTTTCCTTTTATAAAAACTAGTAAACAAAAATTAACTAATAAATTAAAAATAAGGTGATAAAAAAATGAGAAAAAGAAAATTTTATCTAATGATAGGATTTTAAGAATATTCCGAGTAGAGATGCTTTAAGAAATCCCTAGGTGAGAAGATTTTTTAAATATTACCAGTGCATTGAAATATTTATAAAAAATCTTCAATAAAATAAAATTTTTTTCTTAAAAAATCCAAAATAATAATAATAAATAATAAAAATCAATAATAAAATGTGTGCATTAACATATTAGCATTTTTGCATTGCATGCACAACATAATTTTTACAAAAAATAAATCTGAATCTTCGAGGATGAGATTCTAAAGTATTCCGAGAAGCGATGCTTAAAATCTTTAGGTGAGAAAATGTTATTCTAATGTTACTAACGTACTAGAACATTTTAAGAATTATTTCGATAAAAAAGTTTTAATTTATTTTTCTTGAATAAAATTTGAACACTAAATAAGAAAAAATCAAATAACAAAAAAATTTCAACAAACAAAGAAAATCATGAATTTTTTTTTTCAAATACTTAAAATAAGACTGTTTTTATTAAAATCAATGGATAACACATAGTTAAGTGGTACCGTTTTTAAACGGGCGCTGTGGGGTGCTAATCCTTTCTCACATGTAACCGACTCCTGAATCTAGACTATTTCACAGACCATAAAATTATCTTTTTAATAAATTTTAATTAATTTTAAAATCTTATTAAACGGATAAATTTTAATAGGTGGCCAATCGCACCTAGCCAAAAAAGATTGGTGATGACTTCATATTTTCTTTTTTTCAAATTCGTTGAGCAGACATAAAACCGTTACGACAACTTGGTGACTCTACTGGGGACGCCATTTATTTTCGAGAGTTAAGTCAAAATTAACTACATGTTATCCTTGAATTTTGATTTAAACAGTCTTAATCGGTTTCTTAGATTTTTGTTTTTCACTTTCAATAAAAAAAAGGGTAAAAAATAAAACAAAAAGAAAAAATTCACACACATTTCTTTTACTATGCCTCTTATGCTTTATTTTTTTGTATATATTACTCTTGATAGATTAGGAAACATGTACACACACAATGACATGATGTACCTTAATGCATGAGCTCTATACCTGGGCTTTGTCCCTTATAGGAGGAAGTAAAATATCTATGCCCTCGTGAGGTGATAACCTCTGCAATGGCAAACGAAGTACTTTCACTCAAATTAAACTTTTTTCGTTCGTAGCTTATAATGGGTGAGGATCGAGGTACCTTACTAGTCCAGTGTGGACGACAGTAAAGAACAATTTGAGAACATTTAGATGCATGACAACCTGAACCAAGCATGTAATAAGCCATAAGAAACTAACCTTAGGTAGAGCCATGCCCACCTTCATGTAGAAAATAGCTAGGTCTAGAATGTGTAAGAATAAAAGTTATGTGTAATACAAAACAAAACAAAACAAAAAAAATATTTTTTAATCTCAAACCGCATCTTCACACTAACTCAATTTTGTTTACATTAATCATATCATACAATTATGCATCAAGATATTTGCTCTAGGACATCTTTCTCCTAAGAAGCCTTCATAGATCCTAAAGAACTATAGATTGCTCAAATCTCATGTAACAAAAGTTGTATGGAATTAATGAGAATTTCTAGTGTTGAAATTTGTCCAAAAGCAAATATCTTCCACTTGCATTCATACATTATGTGCACCATTTTTTTAAAAAAATCAAAAATCAAAAATAAAAAAAATCAAAAATAAAAAAATCAAAAATAAAAAAAATAATTCTGATTTTAAAAATTTATGATAATAAAGGTTCAAAACAGCTCGCCCATTAAAAATTTTGACTTAACCTACTTGTCATTCATACAAAGCTCAAACAAGAATCATGGAACAAGAATAGGCTAGTCAATTTGAGAGGATGGAGAAAGCTCAAGAAGAACTCAAAAGGGATATTGATAAGATAATGGACATGCTCAAGAAACTTGATAAGAGAAAAGTAGTGGAAGGAAATTCAAGCTTTCAAGAGTAATTGCCAGACATGGTGGATCCT